GCAGAGAAAAAGCAAGTGAAACGCATGTAGTGTGAACTGGCCCTTAAAGCAGACATTTATCCTCTTCACCATCTTTCCATAATATTAATCCTTCTGTCATCTTTTCATGTTTTTTATTACCTTTTGTTAATGTAAGTGCCCTTGCAGTAGCTTTGAGCTCAGAGTTTGAGAGCTCACTCCTGTGATGTGGAGGTGAGCAGCAATGACTAGGCCTCCCTTAACAACACCCTAGCAACGTCCGGTGAATGAGGCTTCAGGAGGTACACAAATGGTCTACAACCTATAGCAAGGGCTTTATTCAACTTTAGTCAGAGCTGCACAGATTGTTAATATCTACAGATGCCCCTTACCTGTATAGGAAGTTTTTTTGGTAAAAAGGTGAAATTATTACTATACAGGATTTATATAGTGCCAACAGTTTGCTCAGCGCTTTACAATATAACGGGAGACAATACAGCAACAATACAAGAGGGATAGGAGGGCCCTGCTCCTCAGAGCTTACAATCTAGGAATAACTAGTGAAAGAACCTTTTAACATGAAAACTGATACTGACCATTCCTGCTATGGCACCTTTATCTAGAACGATTGATAATAAACTCCTGTTTTACCATGTGACCCTCAGCAAGCATGCAAAGGGGCTTATACTGTATATGAAACGCTTGTATAAAAATGTCTTGTTGCCAATAGCAACTGGCCAGAATCCTTGTTTTGTTTTTATCTATGCAATGCGAACAGCACGCAAACTGGTTGCTATGGGCAACACCAAACATTCTCATACATAAACCTCAAAGTAGATAGATGGTTCCAATGATCAGCAACAGGCACCCAGCGCGATGGACAGGGGGCTGCAACATTTGTATCTGGATGTCAGCAGACAAATCAGGTTCAACCTATTGTATTACATCACACGCAATACAAAACTTTTTTAATTCCCACTTTGATTTTACGCACATTGACCAGAGCGCAACAATGTGGAACAAGATGATTTCCCTTATTTGTGAGTTCACACCTAGCCACTTGTCCATGCATATAGGGAAGATGTATAGGTGTGCATGATAAGGCAATGCACGTTTTTTACAACAACAGACTAACGGAAGGGGAAAAAAAAAAAAAAAGAAAAATTAAAAAAAAAAAAAAAACCCTCAAGACAATGTAGACGTACCTAGCTGTAGGGCCCATTCACACCAGCATGCAAGCATTATGCTCTACATAGGGCGTCCCCTCTGGTGTGTCTGGTGTGTAGTGGAGTTGCAATGATTGATTTTTTTGTTTTTTTTACACTTTAAAGTGGAGTTCTTGTCAGTTTTGTGTTTATTAAAAGCCAGCAGCTACAAAAACTGTAGTTGCTGACTTTTAATAAACACACACTTACCTGTCCCAGCGATGCTCTCACCCGCACCGTCCCTTCTCTGCCTCTGCTCTCCTCGGTGCCGCACCACAACCGTGGGCACCAGGCTGTGGCAGCTTGCGGCTTCACAGCCTGGTGCGCACTTGCGCATGCACGAGTTGTGCTGCGCATTCTGATTGGTTCCGGAGTCTTCTGGGACCTGTGAAGGTTCTCAGGGCGGGTACCTATCAACTAACTTCCGGCTCACTTTGCTGTGGCGAACTGAGCCGGAAGTGGAAGCGGGTACCTATCAAAAACAGGTATCCACTCCCCCACCAAAAGGTTCCCAATATGGCAGTGAAGGGGGGGGGGGGGGGGGGACAAGCAGAACTTTCACTTCTGAATGGAACTCTGCTTTAATGAAATGTCACAAAATTTAATTTTCTTTACCTATAAGCACTGCAGCATGTTGTGATGGAGTGTAGATTATCACAATGCTACGCAGAATCTTAACCTGTTCAATAGGATCCAAGGCAAATCCCTCTGCCTATGCCTGGGGCAACCCTGTAGTAAGTTTGGGCTACAAACAAGAATAAGGCTACTTTCACACTGAGGAGTTTTTTTGGTGTTAAAAAAGCACCTGAAAAAGCTAAAAAAAAATGCTTCCCTATGTATGTGAATGTATATCTATGCATGTTTTCACACTGAGGTGTTGCGCTTCTGGTGCGATGCAAAAACTCCTGCCTACAGGATCTTTGGGGCATGTTTGGTGAGTTAAAAAAAAAAAAACTCCCCAAGAATGCCCCTTCCCATTGAAATCAATGGAAAACGTCTGAGAAGCGTTTTTTTGGTGCAGTTTTTAAGTCGCGCGTCCTTTAAAAACACGCAAAAAGCATGGCAAAAGCACAGTAAAAACACCAATGCATTTCTGCTGCATTTTTGTGGCGGATCAGTGTGAAAGTAGCCTTAGGCAACTACAGTTAAAAAATGTAAATTGATAGATATATAAGTATTATTGAAGGACAATGGTAACACACAAGCGGGGGGGATTTTGCAAAAACTGGAGCAGAAAGAAGCTGGTGCAGAGCATAAGAACCAATCATCTTCCATCTTCAGCTTGTTCAGTTAAACTTTGCAAATGAAAAAGAGAAGCTCATTGGTTGCCATGCACAACTGCTCCAAATTTTATCTGCTCCAGTTTTGATAAATTTCTCTCAACCTTACCTAAAAACATCCACCACCTTCCAAATCAAAGAAAAAAAGAAAAAAAAAAACCTACAAAAAGCAGCTGAAGGAAGACTGGGGATTCCACTACAGTGTCCGCCGAATGGGAAGAACGACTGGGAATTAAGAACACCTGCCTGACGAGGTCATCCACGGCCTCAATCAGTTCGACAAATATATTCTTATTACAAGGAATCAAATTGTTGAATATATTGATTTCTTTTTTTCTCCCTTAAGAATGTTCCCTGGAGTCATAAAGTAATCAAAAAGAGCGTTCTGTCAAGCGTAATTAAAAGCAAAACCCCAACTGAGAAGAACACATGCTACACACAGCTGCCACAAAGGTCACCATTAATCCCTATATTTTTATTACTAGAAGTCAACTGTGTCACTCAGTCAGTGTCCTTGTATCAGAGTGTAGAGGATCAGGAGCGCTGTGCCAGTCAAACATACTGGAAGGAGATTAAATTAAAGCCTTGCTCAACCCAAAAACAAAAATGTAATATATTGCAGCTTACCAGTCCATAGATGAGGTGGCTGCATCAGTGTTCCTTTTTTAGGTTTATTTTTCCCCTTTTTTTTCCACCCAATGGTCCTGTCAGAAACACTCTTCCTGTCCTTAGGTGACAACCCTCACTCCACTGTATGTATGGAGGAATAGTGTTGTCACCCTACGCTACTTTCATATTTGGACTACAAGCATCTGCCCCCTCTCCTCATCTTCACGAGTATAAAAGTTTTCAGTTTTATTACATTGTATGGACTTTAGGTCTTTTCTTTGGTACCTTGAAAAGTCCCTTAAAGCAGAAATTTACTCTCTCAATGTATACATGGAGCTGCAGGGAATGCCCCAGCTGCAGATGATTGGCTCAGTATAGTGACAGTTTCCTGGTGGCTTGTTCATATTGGTTTGAACTAGGATCCAAACATACCTGAGGTCATCTCTAATTACAATCACATTTAAATTGACCGGAACTATGTCATGAGGACCTTCGTAACCTACCTAATCATCATCCAATCAGCCAGGCACTTGCACTACATCCTTTTAGTAGATATAAAGGAGATTGTACAATCAGATTGTAACATGTTTTGCTCGGCTGAACTTCAAGCACTGTATAACCCTGCCACTACTATTTTGTTTCACAGAAGTTGATTGTATGATCGACTTTTGTCTAATGCTGGCCATACACTTATAGATTTTCGGAAGAGAATATGTATACGAAAATTCTTTGTTCATTCAACGAATGGACAAATGTTGTTAGAAAATTTCACTCGCTTTTAACATTCAATTTTAAAATGAATGTAATTACAGGACAAAAACCACAAACACTGTCTGAAAATTTGTTTGATCAAGAAAAGTTTTATTTTCTGCTCCTTCAAATTTTCCTGCCACTGTGGTTGAAAGTGATCATCAATTTGATCCCACCAATGATTAGAAAAATGAACGTTCGTAAAATTAAAATTTTAGAACAAAAATCTGTGCATGTATGGCCAGCTTAAAGAGCCTATTTGAAAATTGTAACCCAAACAACACCTGCGTCCAATCAGATGCAGTTCGTGTTCAGCTATTCTGACAGCTGGTGCCGCCAACTGTTACAATAGTACAGAAGGAGAGATTTGGTCATTTGCGCTCTTAGCGTAGATGGAGGAATCTGTTAGATTTCCTTTGTTCAGCTCCCAGGCTGGATGAAAGAAATCTACATATGTATGGCCAGCTTCAGTTCTCATTTACATCACAATCCCCATGTTCAGTGAACAGTTCTACATGCATGTTTACATGCGTTTGTAATGCGTTCACATGCAGGAAAAAGCAGCCTGCTGTTCTATTGAAAGCACCAGAACGGTGTAAGCTAGGCTTGTTGAGATACATCCATGTTCTATGCATTCATATCGCGTTTAAAAACGTGTTGGACCACACACAGTGTAAATAAGCCCAAGGCTACCAAAAAAATGAGCGTGTTCACCAAGCTGTAGAAAAATGGGAAGTCCCTCGACACATCTAGAGGAGATCCGTCATCTTCGAAGGACAAGGGATTAACATGATGGGCTGGGGAGGCCAGATTTTCAGGACAGCCCTGTTCACTGACACACAGCCATCCAGCACCTGTCCATCACACAGGCCAGTTTCAATGAGGATAAAAAAAAAAATCACAGCATTCCTAATGGTGGCCATACACACTTCGATTTCATTAAAGTGAGATTAAACACATTTTTTTTAAAAACATGGTGCTGCCAAGCAAACTCTTCTGTCATAATGCTTCCCCTTGCTGGTTAGCTGTAATGTACACCAAGCCACACATGCGCAGCTCAATGTACGGCACCCAGTGGGTGATGTGACTACCGTGTACATGTGTGGGAGAGATGTCGTTGCAGTCCGGCCATTCAAGAGGCTGAAGAGCCAGAACCCAGAAGAAGGAGCCAGAACCCAGAAGAAGGAGCCAGAGACCAGTGACATTGCAGTGCTGGAGGGGACATTATGACAGGTAGGTCTTCCATAATTGACCAATATGTGCTGCATACAGGGGCGGACTGAACATTTGGAAAACTCGGGCACTGCCTGAGGACCTGGGGTCAGTAGGGGGCCCCATGAGATGCCCCTGGTACCTTTTTCATAGGCTTTTTTGAGTTTGGGCAAGGACACAGGGGCCCAATGAGCCCCTATTGCCCGGGGGCCCCATGAGTTGTCAGTCCACCCCTGGCTGCATACTAACATATGACAGAACACACTCATAGTTTGACAGTTCAGTAGAGAGACCAGCCAACTGTAACAGTTATTATTGCTTTGACGTTAAAGTGGAACTACACCCTCCAATCCTTTACATCCACAGGAGCTGCCATCTCAACCTCTGCGTGATCTGCAGTTGCTGCACATGTGATCCGTTATGACACCAGACATTTCATAGCTTGACAGTTCGGTTTAGAGCACAAGCATTTGGACAGTTACCATTCAGGGCATACCGTTAACGATAACCGTTTTGGGGAAAAAAGTAAGTAATGAGTTTAGTTCTGCTTTAATTCTTGGATCACATCTGTGTGGGTGGTGCCGCTGTGGGACCCGCACAAATACCTGCAGCCGCACCACCCACACAGAGGAATGCAGGACCCGTGGGCGGGTGCCATTAATTCTAATGGCACACTGCCCGCACTGGGAATCACAACCATACTGGGAACCTCAGTTCCCGTGCAGCTGCGATTTCCGAAGAAGTGCAGGGACTTCTCTGCGTGTCCTGGAGCACAGGAGTCCATTCAAATTAATGTGCTTGCACAAATCGCGGGTTGCACCTATGTGGCCTGGCCTAAAACTTAAAAATATTCACCTACTACCGAGCACTGAGGTGTCCAGAAGCTCCCCACCAGCCGCTCTCTACTTTGGCTTAGGGGTACCGATCCTTGGACATTTTCACTGGCCTGGCCGAGATGATGTCACTTCCGTGCATGCGCAGGAGTTCACTCATCTCGGCATTGCCAAAACTTGTACACTGCGCTGCGCAGGTATAGCTCATTGTAGAGGGTGTACAAGCAAGTAATGGAAACTTAACACAGGAGAGACACAGTGGGGCTGATTTACTAACACTGGAGAGGTGAAAAATCTAGTGCAGCTGTGCATGGCAGCCAATCAGCTTTCAGAATTTCTTGTCAAAACTTAACTGCACAAGTGGATTGGCTGCCTTGCACATCTCCACCAGATTTTGAGCGCTCCAGTTTTAGTAAGGCTGGTCATACATTACACAATTTGTACAATTTTCCTTTAGATTTACCAAAAAGACATAATATGAGGTCAAACCTAAACACCACTTTCAATTGTATCCAATTAGGCAGATCCTTGAACTACATAGTTCAAGGTAAGTCTAAAGAGAATTGTATACTGTGTGTTCAACTGAAATCTAAAGAGAATTGCATACTGTGTGTTCAACTGAAATCTAAAGAGAATTGCATACTGTGTGTTCAACTGAAATCTAAAGAGAATTGTATACTGTGTGTTCAACTGAAATCTAAAGAGAATTGCATACTGTGTGTTCAACTGAAATCTAAAGAGAATTGCATACTGTGTGTTCAACTGAAATCTAAAGAGAATTGCATACTGTGTGTTCAACTGAAATCTAAAGAGAATTGCATACGGTGTGTTCAACTGAAATCTAAAGAGAATTGCATACGGTGTGTTCAACTGAAATCTAAAGAGAATTGTATACTGTGTGTTCAACTGAAATCACCTCCCCCCCACCCCAGGTCTCTCCTGCCTGTTCACAAATGGATTTTGTTCCCTAAAGTTCTTCTTTAAGCTACGACACAATCAAAATGATCGAACTGGTGAATAGTCATAACTTTCCTTCCGATCGATTTAGATCGCCAGCAATACATCAGCCAGAATGGAAAATTATTGATCGATCAGCAGCACTGGTAAACCCGGACGCATTTTGATTGATCAGCTTAGGAGAGGCCATCGACAACGTTACAATCGCATCTTGCAGCTACTGATTGATCAACATTCCCCCATGTGCGGCGTATCGATCAACTGGACTGATTATTGATTGATCATTGACTTTTTTTTTTCATATTGATTGGGAAAGAACCCAGTCATTTACTGAAGTGTGTATGGCCAGCATCAGACTTCCATCCTGCTGCCCAATCCTCCTGCTAACAATCAGCAGGCCTCCGCCGCTGCACAGCACCATCTCCCAGCCCTGCACACATCACTGTCCTTGTCTTCAATGGCATCTTGTAGCTGGAGGATGACCATAGGGGAAGGCTGGAGGGGATCTGCCATCCGCTGGGCACTGCAGTGTCCTTCATTGGGGGAAATGGGCAGAAACCTCTGCAGTGCATGGAGGGACCTGTCAGTGTCCAGCCCCCACATACACTGACAGCCATCTGTATCAGTGTTCATAGAGGTAGTAGTATGTGTGTGTACATATATGTGTCAGTATATGGACAGAGAACCTGGGGGGAGACATTGTATACAGCCAATCACAGCAAAGCACACACAGATTCTACATGAAAACACTATATACAAGGCACAAGCCATGTCTGTACAATGCAGAGCGGGGCACACCAGCCATCCTCACCATCTTACCGGCATCATCTCTGCAGCGGCGGTCTGGGGCTGATCGGGATGACAGATGGGGGGTGCCCGGTGTCTGGGCTGTGTCCCCCCCCGCCCTGGCTCTCCTGCACTCCCTTCCAGGAATGGATCGGGAAGCCCAAGCGCGAAATGGCTGCGAATCCGCAGGGCAGGCCTCTCCTCCCGCTTCCTCCTCCTTGTCGGCGGATGGTAATGGGGGAAAGGTACGGCCGCGGCCACAGGTTGGGAAGAAGGATGCGGCTGTGGAAAGGGGGGGAGAGAGGAGGAGCTGGGGGCGTGCCCAATCCCTGGGCGAGGCGGGGACAGTGCGGGGAAGGAAGGCGGGGTCTCAGGTAGCACCGTGGATGATTGACAGCTCGGTTCAGCCTTCTGTCAGGTCTGGCGTGACGTCAGCGGCGAATAATGTTGGGAATGCGGAATAGGTGGCCGTGGCCCCGCCCAGGTCAGGTGGCGGACGGATGGGAGGACATGTGTGTCTGTATGTTGGACGGGTGACTCAGGCTGAGTTGTGTCCGTGGTATGACTGTTGTCATGTGATGCCGGCTCCCTACTGACAGTGACACAGTGCATACCGATTTTCATGGGATACTCATCTCGCCGCTGCACCGGTACCGATCGCAGTCCTTAGTGATCCTTTTTTTTGTGGAGTATCATCTTCATTAACCCCTTCACTCCTGAGGGTAGCACAAATCTTAATGCCTAAGCACAATTTTACAACTTTGACATGTGTTAGTAAAACCGGACATAGCATCACAACTACTTTGTGATTTCAGGAGGATTATGACCTTGTTTTGTTTCAGGACAAAGTGGGCTTTCATTTGGTGGTAAATGGTAATGGATACCTCCTGATTTTTTAATTTTTTTGATTATTATCAAAGGAAAACTGACCCAAAATCGTAAAAAAAAAAAAATTTCTTTTAAATTTAGCTGTATATTTCTTGCTACTACCATAACCAATCGCCAAAGAACAACCTAAAATAATTTTTCCTGCTCCTGACGATCGCAGCGATACCACATGTGTGTATGTTAGTTGTTTGTATCTGTAGCATGGCCCAGAAACCATTATTATTACAGGTACCGTCACTTTATGCAACGCTTTACATATATATTGTACATTCACATCAGTCCCTAACCCTCAAGGGGTGTACAATCTAAGGTCCCTAACTTACATTCATACATACACATACTAGGGACAATTTAGACAGGAGCCAATTAACCTACCAGCATGTCTTTGGAGTGTGGGAGGAAACTGGAGTACCCGGAGGAAACCCACGCAGGCACAGGGAGAACATGCAAACTCCAGGCAGGTGGTGCCGTGGGTGGGATTTGAACCAATGACCCTAGTACTGCCAGGCAGAAGTGCTAACCATTTAGCCACTGTGCTGCCCCAATATAATAGTGCGCAATTTACTTTTTTTTTTTATCCTACCACTGATACTACTGACAAAAAAAAAAAAATATACTGACCCTGACCTTTGACCCAAACACTAAACCTGGCACTGACCTATATCAAACTTTGATCTAGGTATTTATTTATTTTATGTTGTTGTTATTTTTATTTTTATTCATATATTTTTTAACACATTTTTTTTCTCTCTGAAAGGACAGAGAGATACAATGTATCTCACTCCTCCATTCAGAGAGAGAAAACAAGGGAAGCGGGCATCACAATGACTGATTAATGTCATAGCCTATCAGAGGCTTTCGCAGCAATCATGTGATCTTCGTCCCGATCATTACAATGGCTCTCACTGACACCCAGGTTTTTGTGCACAAAGACAGGTACGGCAATTAGCAGCCACACAGAAAAAAGCCCAGTTCTGTGAGGCTGCTAATTTGCATACGGTTAGCATCAAGGGGTTGAAGAATAAGGCCCCATTTATGTATGTGCATCATGCTTAGGCGCGTTTTTTTAACAAATTTGTAGTGCAACAGAGTAGGGCAGATTATTCACTTGAATAGATTGTCCTAGGCGACAAATGTGTCATCGTAGCTCATACACCTTTTTTGGGCGGTGAGCCTCATGTGTTATCTTACCGCATGTTGGCCACGCAGCAAAACGCATGTTTTCTAGCTGCATTAAGACTTGGTTCACACTATTGCGGGCCGTGACGCCCATGTTTGCTTGGGCCCGGAAGCCCTTTCCTTTGACTGGGCTGCTGTGCCATGTTTGCCGCAGGAAAAAGGTGCATGAGCCTTTTTAAAAACAGCCACAGCGAAACCTCGTAGTCTTTTTGACCATGCAGTTCCCACACCCGCAAACGTGCTGCAGGTTCAGAGGCATGCGGGCGCCATTTAAAATAAATGGTAGCCATGTGCGTCTTGCAAGAGCAGTGCAATTCAGTTGCAGGTGTGGGAACAGCTACGATTCCCAAAACCAGTCTGCAAGTAGGACCACAGTCTTAGGCTGGCCATACGTGGGTCGATTTTCAAACGATTATTCATTTGAAAATCATACCTAAGAATAATCGGCCGAT